GGTACGCGGGGGTGTCCGAGGTTGGCGACTCTTTGCGGAAAAAAATCTCCTTCCGCGCCACGTGCACACGTGCCACCAGCAATGCTCCCTCCTTCCCTCGTCGTCATCCCCATCACCTCCCCCGTCCTCTCTCCTCCTTGCTCCCTCCCTCCCTCCCTCCCTCCCTCCCTCCTTGCCCTTCGCCCAGAGGAAAACAGTCTCCATCGACACCCCTCCACACCTTATCATGCGTGCCTTCCGCCTCCTACATCCCCGCCGGCTACGCCCCCTCTGCACCTACGCCGCCGCCCCTCCTTCCACCCCCTCCCTCCTTTCCGATCCGGACCTCCTCTCCCTTCACACGCGTCTCCTCCCGCTCGCCCTCTCGCGCCTCCCTGCCGCCACCTCCCCGCCCAACCCCCTAACGCACCTAACCGCCACCTCCGCCTCCCTCGCCACGGAGCTGTCCGACCTGCTCGCCATCCAAGCCGATCCCTCCTCAGACCCCGACCTCCTCCACCTCGCGCGCGACGAGCTCGCCACCCTCTCCAAGCGCCGCGCCTCGCACGCCGCCACCCTCCTCACGCACCTGCTCCTGCTGCACCACATCTCCCCGCCCCCCACGCCCTCGCTCCTCCTCGAGATCCGCGCGGGCACGGGCGGCCAGGAGGCCGCCCTCTTCGTGGCCGACCTGCTCACCATGTACACCCGCCTCACGCACCGCCTGCGCTGCCCTCTGCAAGAGCTCTCCCGCTCGCCCTCCCCGCGCGCCGGCCTTCGGCAGGTCATCCTGCGCCTGCGCCCCTCCCCCGCCGTCTTCCGCCTGCTCGCGGCCGAGGCCGGCGTGCACCGCGTGCAGCGCGTCCCGGCCACCGAGACCCAGGGTCGCCTGCACACCAGCACCGCCTCCGTTGCCGTCCTCCCGGAGCACGCGCACACCTTCGCCGCGGCCCGCCTCGACGAGCGCGACGTCAAGGTCGACGTCTACCGCGCCTCCGGCGCCGGCGGGCAGCACGTCAACAAGACCGAGTCCGCCGTCCGCGTCACGCACGTCCCCACCGGGCTCGTCGCCACCAGCCAGGAGGACCGCTCGCAGCACCGCAACCGCGCGCTCGCCATGGCCGAGCTGGGCGCCCGGCTGGCCGCAAAGGCCGCTGGCGAGCTCGCCGCCGAGCGCACGGCCGAGCGCAGGGCGCAATTGGGCGCCACCGCGGGGGAGAGGAGCGACCGCATACGGACGTACAACTGGCCGCAGAGCAGGGTGACCGACCATCGGATCGTGCCGCACCGCGACGTGCTCGCGCTCATGCCGTCTGCCAAGGATGTGCTGGGGGAGAAGAGCGCGCCGCTGGCGGAGGTGGTCGCAGGCGGGGCGGCATTGGAGCGTGTCATGGAGGCTGTCGGCAGGGCGAGGGATATGGACATGCTGCGGGAGCTCGTGGTTCTCGCGGACCAGGTTGGGGTGCGGGAGCAAGGCGGGCGGCAAGGCGGGCACAGAAAGGGGCACAAGCGAAGAAGGGCGGCGGCGTAGGTGTGGCGTGTACCATACGAGTAGGCGTGCGTTTATGGAAAAACTTATTAACGTGGGCATCGATTGCAGCGACAGAGGTTGTGTCACTCCGGCACCTTGGTCCCCCCCTGGAGCTGTTCCAAATGCATGCGCGCCATCTCCCTGACATATCTAAAGCCGTCCTCATCGTCCTCGTCCTTCGGGTCGGGTCCCTCACACAGCCTTGCCAACTCGTCGCCAATCGTCGCCTTCCTCTCCGGGGACGCATTCTGTGCGATCTGTGCGACAGCGCCGACGGCCGTGGCGCCGACGGCCGTGTCGTGCGTCTTCCCGCACAGGCGGATCAAAATGTCGACGGCCCGATCATTCCCCCTGAGCACATCCCCGCGCGGGCCCTTCAAGTCGCTCCCCACGGTGCCCAAGCAGCCGACGGCAGCGAGCTTGGTGACCGGGTCGGGGTCGCTCGCGAGCGCGTCCTCGAGCGCGTCCAGAGCGTCCGCGGGGAAGGCGGCGCGCTCCTCGGGGAAGAAGAGGGCGACGGCCGCGAGCATCTTCGCGCACGACGCGCGCTCCGTGGCGTGCGCGCTGGCCGTCATGACGGCGACGACGGGGGGCACCGCGCGCACGCCCGTCATGGCCAGCGCCTGCACGGCGGCGCGACGGTGCGTCGTGTCGGGCTCGCGCAGCAGCGACACCAGCCGCGCGATCGTCGCGTCCGTCGCGTCCGTCGCTAGCGCGGCGCTCGCCTTGCGACGCAGGTTCTTGTTCACGTGCGTCAGACGCGAGAAGTTCCGCTCCAGCTCCGCGGCCGCCGGTGGCGCTGCGCCGGACGCGCAGCAGGTGGGACGCGTGCGGCCGTGGAGAGGGGCGTGCCGCGGCAAGGGGCGCGCGGAAAGACAAGCGGGCGCGGGGATGATGAAGAGAGGAGGGGGCGACATGGCGGTCGGTGGGGGCGGGGGCGGGACGGTCGGACGCAATACGGTCGGAGGCAGGACGGTCGGAGGCAGGCAGGACGGTCGGAGGCAGGACGGTCGGAGGCAGGACAGTCGGAGGGTCGGGGCGCGAGCGAGTGTTCGGGGGGTATCCTACCTGGTAACAAAGATGATCTCGATGGTTGGGCAGGGTGACGAAATACCCTGTAGTTTGTTAATCAAAAAAATTTTGATCCCTCCTCGTGTGCTGTGCATGGTGCCGTTGATAGACCCGAATGGGGATGCCAAGATTCTTGGCACAAGAACGCAGCAGACGACCTCAACAGCTCAAGGTCGTTTCAAGTTGAAACGACTTTGAGGTCGTCGTTCAACTCACGGCATCCTCGCGCGACCGGCGAGAAATGTCATCCGTGCCTCCCATCCCTAACTTTCCGTCATGCGAGGCCTTTCTTGTCGGCACTATGTACGCGCCCTACATCGCCTGCCCGCTGCGCTTTTGCATTATTCCCTTTTCGAAGGCAACATCTATTCACATCATTTTCAAAGCTCTTGAGAGTTTCGTGACACTTTCATTGTTGAGCTTAGTCAGCTAGCTGTATAGTGACTATACTATATGTACGCGTCTCTGTACACGCTAGCGTGTATAGGGGTGAAACTCCCCGGAGAATAGCGAGTGGCTGTAATTACTATCAGCCAACCGAGCGTACCTCACCTCGCAGTCTCGCTGCTCCGTGGTACTTATGGCGCCATCGTGAGCCTCTTGCCAGCCCCCCTCTCCTGGCCATGTCTATTTCTCTTGCCCGCCCAGCCCCGGCTGCGCCGCCCTCTTGGTAGTTTCCTTTCTCATCATGTCTTTTTCTCTCTTTATGTTTTCTTTATGTTTTCCAGTTCGGTTTAATGGTTTGCGTAGCCTTTGTGTGTCCCCTCTTAACCGATGTCTCGTGACCGACTAGAACCAATAAACTACGAATATCTTCAGTAGTCTACGACTGCCGAGAAGGGTGGCGACTTTCTATTCCTACTTTCGGATTCCTACTTCCGGATTCCTACTTCCGGATTCCTACTTCCGGATTCAAACAAACAGTATGATCACCCATGACGCGTGTGAGACGTGTACATTGTGACACAACTGCCATTCTAGAAACTCCTCACTCCAATTGTAACTTTCCTAGTGTGTCTAGTTTCCTCACTTCCTCCCCCCGACTCATTCATCCACGCCGCCGTCTTTTTCCATTCTAGAAACTCCTCACTTCCTCCCACTTGCGCCGCCCCCGGATCAACTCCATTTTCCTCCCGTCTCCCCCCACCTCGCCGCCGTCCAATCTGCACCCCCATCGCCCCATGCCGTCCTCGAAAGAGGAAGCCGAGCAGGAGTACATGCGCGCCCGCATGGCGGCCGCCACTCTCTCGGACCCGCCATCGGCGCCTTCTTCCCCGTCCCCAACCCCGTCCCCAACCCCGTCCCCAACCGCGACCGCGACCGCGCCGGCCGACTTGCCGCCCGATGCGCCGCCCGCCGAGGCGGCCGCGCTCGACGACACCATCAGCGCCGCGCGCGCCGCGGAGCTGAAGGAGGAGGGCAACGCGCTGTACAAGGCCGGCGAGTACGTGGCCGCGCTCGACAAGTACTCGGCCGCCGC